TCTTTGAATATTTAAAAGACTATCATGTGAAATAATTAGATTTATTTTGTTCCAGCAGGAAGAAGTAAGACAAGTGGGTGGAAAGTGCAAAGAAACAACATTATTTGAGATTTCCTGAAAGATAGAAGGAAAGAGATAACCTTGTTTGACAAATCTCTGATTGTTTATATAAGTCAAGGCATAAAACAGGGAGAAATATGATACACAGTTATCATGGAAGTGATCAGGAGTTCCAACTGAAGATAGATTCCTTATGATAGCCATGTCCTATTGATTCTCCCGTCTACAAATGACATTTTGCTAGTTTTATCAAATCACAGAAAACTGCTGGCTCTTGGAAGAGATACATGATTCTTCAGAGTTTGACCTAACCATCTACAAGTAGATGAAGAATGGCTATTATATTGGTAGAAAACTGGCCTCAGAGCCAAGAAGACCTAGGTTGAAGTTTTATCTCTGAACCTGGGAAAGTCACTTAATTTTTCTGTGCTCTAGGCAACTCTCTAAGACTATAAATTACAAAGAAAATGCTAGCCTACATTGGTAGAGGAAGTTCTTCACTAGGAATCTATACCAGTGAAATCACCAATCCCTTCCTTGTTACTAACCCTTTAATGTGGAGTTAAATGGACCTGTAGAGCTTATCCAGAAGTATAAATAGCTAGTACAAATAGGCAAGAGGAGAGTAGGGTTCCATTGCCTTCAGGAAATTGTAAAGCTTTTTTTCTTTTTTTTCTTTTTTTAATTGTAATATATTATTTTTTCCAATTACATGTAAAAACAATTTTAACCTTTGTTTTTTTATAATTTTGAGTTCCAAATTTTCTCCCACCTTCTCTTCCCTCCTACCTCATTAAGAAGCCAAGCAGTTTTATAAAGGTTATACATGTGCTGTCATGCAAAACATTTCCATATTAGTCACGTTGTGAAAGAAAACACAGACAAAAAAAAAGAAAGTAAAAAAAAAACAGTATGCTTTCATACTGCATTTCATCTGCATTCAGATTCCATCAGTTTCTTCTCCGGAGGTAGATAGCATTTTTCATTATAGGTCCTTCAGAATTGTCTTAGATCTTTGTATTGCTGAAAATAGCTAAGTTATTCACAGTTGATCACTGTATAATATTGCTGTTACTATGTACAAGTTCTGGTTCTGCTTGCATCAGTGCATGTCTTTCCAGGTTTTTCTGAAAGCATCCTGCTCATGATTTCTCATAGCACAAGAGTATTCCATCACGATCATATACCACAATTTATTCAACCATTCCCCACTTGTTAGGCATCCCCTCAATTTCCAATTCTGTGCTACCACAAAAAGAACTAATATAAATACTTTTGTACATATAGGTCCTTTTTTAGAAAAAAATCTCTTTGGGATACAGTAGTATCAGTACTAATGATATTGCTGAGTCAAAGGATATACACAATTTTAAAGATTCTTAAGAGATCTCAAACTTCTCCAAGAAACATAATTAATAATAATAACTAGCATTTATGTAATGCTTACTATGTGCCAGGTACTATGCTAAGTGCTTTGAAATTATTATTTCATTTGATCCTCACAACAACCCTGGGAGATAGGTGCTATTATTATCCCCATGTTAGAGATGAGGAAACTGAGACAAACAGAGGTTAAGTGACTTGCTTAATATAAGTCACAGCTAATAAAGAATCTGAGATCAGATTTGAACTCAGGCTTCTTGACTCCTGGTTTGGCACTCTATCCACTACGCTGCCACAAGTGCCCTTTTTTAAAATATAAATAGTCTACTTATATTGTAGGCTACAAAACATGGAGCATTATGGACTCTGAAAAATTAAAAATGACTATTACTAAGAAAACAATCCATTATTTGATTCCCCCACCCCCAAGAGAAAGGAAACCACCTTCCACTTTTCATAATTTGCAAGTTACATTGGTAGCCACTGAGTGCCATTCAAATACCCATTAAGGCAGAATACTGCAGGGACCCTGAATCTTAATCCCAAAGCCACATTTTCTTTTAGGGAAGAGGAAATAACATTTTTGTATTTCTCTCTCTCTCTTTTTTACTTTGATATCACTTTCATTAGAGGTATTAATTGGCTGTTCCCAGGTATGTGAGTGCCACTGGCTACAGAAAGAACAGTAGGTTTGACAGTTGTTGATTTAGTTAGCTTGCCAGTGACTTTCTTTTATTGTTTGTTTCAAGCCTCTTTTGATAGCATAAAAAATCCTGGTTTAACTAAGAAAATACATACACTAGCCTATTTTAGCTTTATTCATATGCTAATTCCAGTACTGCTGCCAGATTTTTCATATGTTTATGTAAAAGTAAGAGATGATGGACATATTTCTATTGTCAAACTTTTATGTCAAAAGACCACAACTGCCTCCAGCAAACTGAAGTTAAATTAGTAACTGTTGCTTATATTTTGTTAGTCATAGTTATCAAATAACTTTATTTTGGCTAGGAGCAAAGAGTTATTAACCAATATCTAGACTTGATATTTATTAACGCAGCTTTACTTATTTTAAGTATTAAAATGGCCTTTTGCCCATAACAAGATGTGCCTGTACCTGGTTTTTACTTCATGATTCCACTGTAAATATCGAAAACCACATGATGGAATCTCTAAAATAGGTGGAGACTTTTGAAAAACATTCAGTCTGTTTCCCGAGCCAAAATTCCATCACAAGTTTTGAAAAAAAAAAACCTACGTATTTTCCATTCTTTTATCCTCGTTCCAATAAAACTTCACACTTATTTTAAGCCTGTAGTTTTACTTTCCATTGGTAGATTTTCATTCTCATCTTTATCATATTCCATATATATTATGATATATATATAATATGAAATACAGACACAAGAGACAGCATACTTAACTGATTTTAGTGATATTTGTTTAACAAATCATTACTGAGTGCCTGCTTTTACAATGCATCATGCTAGGTGAAGTGAGAGAATAAAACAGGTATAAGAGAGATTGTTGATTATTCTGGGTGTGAAAAAGGCCCCACTGAACTCAACAATTTTACCCCAAGTGGGTAGCAGGGACCTTTTGTGAGTAGGGAAGGGTGTCTTGGGACACCTTTAGTCAAGGCAAAAAAAGAAAAAAAAACAAGAAAATTCATAGGATGAAAAAGAAAAACATTTTGTCTTTTTCCACAAAAAATTATTTTTACATAAGAAGATAAATCCTCTTCCAGTGTCTCATTACCTGCCTAACTCCTCTCAGATCTTCATTTAATTTGTCTTTGTGTCTTTGCTTGTGTTGAAAATAGATTGGAGTGGGGAGAGACTTGAGGCAGGGAAGCCAGTTAAGGGAGACCATGGGCCAGGTGACCTGAACTAGAGTGGTAACTGTACAAATGAAGAGAAGGAGATGTAGATTAGAAATGACAAAATGAGGCAACTGACTGGATATATGGGACCTATTTTGATGTTAAGGTGTTAGGGGTAACATTAAAGTTGCAAACCTGAGAGACCAGAAGGATGATGGTGTTCTTAACAATAATGGAGAAGTATGGAAGAGTGGCGAGTTTAAGGAGAAAGACAATGAGTTCTCTTTTGAAAATTTTGAAATTGAAATGGCTCCAGAAGGATATTTGGCTCAAAATGTTGAATAGGCAGTTAGTGATGTGAGCCTAGAGCAGAGAGGAAACTGTAACAGGATGTGTAGATCAACACAGTTTCATGATTTCCTCCCAATTCTGTTTAGCAGCATGTGAATAAGAATAAAGGAGGCAGATGGTGGGAGTAAACCAGGGTTGGGGTTTGTCAAGGTATGAATAGCAATAGGACTAGGGAACAAGGGCTTCAAGATTCAAGGGTAGTGTAGAGTTGAGCTGGTTCACCAAGGAGTCAAGATAGGGAAGAAGGAAAGTATAACTCGTATATAAGTAATGGTCTGCCATGGTGCAATGCAGTAGAAAGAATGACAGTCACAGTGAGGATGAAGAACAGGTTTAGGGAATCAAAAGACTTATGCAGAGATGGAATGATAAAAGATTATGAATAGATTCAAAAACTTCTAATTCTAGTTCTAATGCCACGTATTTGAAGACTTTAAGTGATACACTAGAAATGAAGTTAAAAAAAAATAAGTACTTGTTTTCTTTGACTCTATCACCTATTTTGGGGGTAATCCTATGATGGGTCAGAATAGAAATTTATGGAAAATTTGGGAGAAAGGAGGAACATATGTTAGTCATATGCTCATGGGGCGGGGGGGGAAGTGACCAAGGAAAATTAAAAGAATAGGACAAAGTAAGAAAAACAATGATTCCAAATAGCAAGTAGCCTTGGTTAATGGAAATAATGGAGCTAGGAGGAAGAAAGTCAGACAAACACTGGGTGTAATCCTAAAAAATAAAGAAATTTAAACATATTTAGAAAAGGTGATGAAAAATGGAATTAGAAACAAGAAAGGACAATTATATTAACAAAAACATTTTTAACTAATTAGAAAGGTGAGGAGCATAGAATGATTTCAGAAATTTAAATGATACTTTTCTCAAGTATGAACTTATATCCCCCACATCTTTTTGCAGTGGAGACAAAAAAACTTCTAATAAGTTTTAATAATCATGAAGAAAGAATGAAGGATTGGCAATTGTTTTGAACCAGAGTACAAGGGGGAAAAAAGAGTCAAAAGTGACACTATGATAGTATTTCTGCGAAATAGGAAAGGGATTAAATTAAAAAGTAATTTTTAAAAAAGTAGTATCTGAATCATAATTTCTTGTTAAGAATATTAAACAAAACTGCTATACTTTTAACCCTTATTTGAACTGGCTACTCATTATTCTTCTGAAACGCTCTTGTTCTGTTTCTTAGAAGGTCTTACGGATAATGGAGGGGAAGGGAAGTTGCACACAGAATATGCCAGTCCTAAAATATTATATTTGTTACAGATATTTTCCCATGAAAATCTCAAAAAAATACAACTTACTTTGATTAAAGATAAAATAATTTCCATGATGTTCATATTTAAATAATGTTTCCTTTCTTCTACAGATAAAGCCTCAATTAAACAACTAACAAAACAGGTAAGCAAAGTTTTTCCATTCTTTTTAAAAGATATATAACTGTCAAAAAATTTTAACTGATTCTCTCTGTTTTTGCCTTGTATACTTGAAGGCTATAAATGATGCACTGGATGCAGTAAAAAAGAATAAAAGTGGACCAACCTTTTTTAGAGATCTTGGTAATAAAGGTAATGCTTATTTCTTTTGAATTCCTACATATGGGAGTTTCATGTTTTCTCTAATTAAAGGATAATTTAGAAACTTTGTATAGGGGTTGTACATGTACCTAAATGTATTCCTTCAAAGAGTGTTAGCATTTTAATATTGATTAATAAATATGAAATGTGTAATAAATACTTTTATTAATCTTCAGTGAGAAATGCCTGTTTCAATCCCTATGACCATTTTTTGAGAATGAAGGGAGACAACATTGCTCCGCTGTGATTTTCATGTTAGGAATTTCCCTCCATTGCTTCTAGCTTCTCTAGATACTTCTTTCAGTCCCTAATTCCTCCTCAGAGGAATTAAGAGAACATTTGTTCTTAATGTTTGATGGACTTACTGAATTTGAATGTTCATCAAGGCAACATTAAGCTAGACTGCTAATGGTTTTGAACACATAACTATTTACTTTAGAAATATGATCTGTCTTTATTCTCATATAATTCAGAAAAAAGGGTCATGTAAAACATGCTATTCACCTCCAGATAGAGAGCTAATAGACTAGAGAATACTTTAAAACCTACTTTCTTTCTTTTCTTTAATTTATTTGGACACGGCTAATGTGAGAATTTGTCTTGCTTGACTATACATACTTAAAGCATGTTTTATTTTTCTTGCCTTCTCAATAGGTGGGAGAGGTGGGAGGGAGAGGATTTGGAACTGAAAATAAAATAAAACTGAATTTTAAAAATAGGAAAAGAATTATTTTAGAAAAAAAGTTTAGAAAATATCATTTGAAGACTTATAAATAAGACTAATCAAAGCTTCTCCACTAGTCCTTATACTTAAAGGATAATAATCTGTATGATATAGCCATATTTTGCATGGAAAAGGTATCATCAAGGACATTTTGGGGCATATTTTGAGGCAATTAGGAAACATAGTATAGTCAGAAAGATCCAGGCTCAAATCCATCCTCAGATACTTATTGGCTGTGTGACCTTGGGCAAGTTACTTAACCTTTCTCATGCTTACTTTCCTCAACTATAAAATGAGAATAATAATAGTTTCCTAGGGTGATTGTATAGATTAAATAATAATAATAATTTCCCAGGGTTGTATAAGATAATGACATAAGTGAGATATGAGATAAGATTTCTGAAGTGCTTTGTAAACCTTAAAGTGCTATATCAGTGCTACTAATTATTAGTTATTATCGTTATATTTGACCTTAAAAGTAGACTAGTCTTATAGATACATTAAAAAAATAGCCAAACAATAAGAACTGACAATTATATAGCACTTTAAAATTATTTGAGTCTCACAACAACCCTGAGATATTGGTACCAAGACTATACTATAACCAATACTATCCTCATTTTACACTTGAGGAAACTGAGGCTCAAAGAGCTTAAGTGATTTGCCCCAGGTCATACAGTTAGTACATTCCAGAGACAGAATTTGGATCCAAATCTTCTTGACTTCTAATGCAGGACTCCATATATTACATCCTGAGACCTCTCTAACAAATTAAGTGGTATATTTGAGCCCCCAATATATTAAGAGAGCAAGAGGGGCTACTAGGTGGCGCAGTGGATACAGCACTGGCCCTGAAGTCAGGAGGACCTGAGTTCAAATCTGACCTCAGACCAAACACTTGACACTTACTGACTGTGTGACCCTGGGCAAGTCACTTAACCCCAATTGCCTAAAAAAGAGCAAGAAGCTGTCTGGTTCATCATGAGGATTCCTCTTTGTAGGATTTATGCAAAAATATTGCCCAGGCAATAACCTTGGGTTCTTAAAGGCCATGCCAGCAGGGAGTAAACTTTGATTGGTCCTACCAAGTTAGGTGGCAGAATGCATAGAGTGCTAGGTCTGGAGTCAGGAAGACCTGAGTTCAGTTTCTGCCTCTGACACTTTCTAGCTGTGTGACTCTGGGCAAGTCCCTTAACCCTGTTTGCCTCAGTTACTCATCTGAAAAATGAGCTGGAGAAGGAAATGGCAAACCACTGCAGTATCTTTGTCCAGAAAATCCCCAAATGAGGTCATAAAGACTCGGACAAGACTGAAAAATGACTAAATAACAACAACCAAACTAAAAAGGCCAGAAGTATAGGTTTAGTGACCAGTTATTTGTCTGTCTGTTATTTAAGTACCAGTCTCACCAAACTGAGGACTTTTCCAGAAGTTTGGCTGCCAAGTAAAAAATTTTTTTTCAGCCAGAACAAATCATTAATACCCTAAGTATTCATACCCAGAATAGTTGTAGTCATCATCAATGAAATAAGTGCCCATACTAATGAAATCATGAATTCTTGAAAGATTTTTTAAGTTTCAACAGTTATTACATGAGAAATCAACACTCCAGTTAATTAAGTAGATTAATTAACTAGTGCTACTGCCTCTTTCAGCACCTTTCTCTTCCACTATCATTTAGCAACTTCTCCTTTGAGGTTCACTCCTTCCAGCTTTCCTGGAAGCTATCATCCACCAGCCTCCAAGTCATTCCCCCTCCTTCCCTCAGGGAGTTCAGTACTTGGCTCACGGTATTGTTCTTCATCCTAATCCCTATCTTTACACTGTGGAACTTGATGATGTCACCTCAAATAGCTTTCCAGTTCATCCTCAACTCCCGTGGTCTGCACTTTCATACCATTTTAGCCACAAGGATACTCTTGATTGTATTATTACCCACAAGTGTTTTCTGTACAAAATATTGAACTCTAAATATGTGCTCTATTGGACCGTAATCTCCCGTCCTTCTATCTTACCCTGTTTTTACCTGTCTTATAAATGTTCGCCTGGAGCATGTGAGGGTTGCAAAATCTTGTATGACTACGCTATTCTTCTGAACTGTCTGAGGTCCCAGGAGCTTAGTTGTAATGAATCTATGTAATTAGGTGTTCCTTTTTCCTTGGTTAGTGGGCAGGGAATCCTTATAGTCAGGGATCATGGGACTTTGATATGTAGAATAGTTGTTAAAAAAAAAATACAGATATATACCTTGGAAATAGAGACATAGATATAGTTAGAGTTTTTTAATCTGCATTTCACTGTCTCATCCAGGCTAGATCACTGTGGACACTGACCTGCTCCATTTCTGACCAGAGCCAGTGAGTGCCAGACTTAATGTGGTACCAATAGGCTTTAGCCCTACTTCACCTTAGAACTCCCAGGCTCAAATGATCAGCCTCAGCAGCCTCCAGTGGCAGGAATTATAAGTATGCGCCACACACCTACATGTAATATTTGTAAAGAAATACACTGCTGATTCCTGAAGAGGGCTTCTTTAGGGGCCATCTCAGCCAACATGCTGGCTGGCCCTGCCACCTCCTGCGCCACTCTACTCTCAGGATCCTGATATCTAACCCCACCTCACCCCTCAGATCCATTCCTTTTCTCCCTTCACATCTCTCACCTTAAAAAAAAAAACTTCTCTATTTTTCTTCATCAGAAGTAACTGGGGGCAGGGGGCAGGGAGGCAAAGCCAAGATGGCAGAGTAAAAGGAGAGACTTGCTTGAGCTCTCCCCCAAAGCCAGACAAATACCTGTAAAAAATTACTCTAAACAAATTCTAGAGTAGCAGATCCCACAAAAAGACAGAGTGAAACAAATTTCCAGCCCAAGACAACGTGGATGGTTAATGGCAAAGTCTGTTGTGCGGGGCTGGGAGAGGAGTACAGTCTAGTACGGGCTGGCACAAACCAGGCCCTAGTGGGCCTAGAGCAGGCCTCAGGGAACTGAATCACTGGAGCTGTGGCAGTTTCCAGACTTTTCAACCCACAAATGCCAAAGACAACTTAGAAGGTCATCTGTCTGGGTGAGAGAGGAGCACAGTCTAGTCCTGGGGCAGTGGTAGTAGCAGTAGCTGGGGCTGCTTCCAGAACTTTCAACCCACAGACAGTCACAGTCCTAGATGGCAGTCCTGGGATGAGCAGGAGCACTAGCATAGCAGAGCTTATGGCAGCAATGGAGAGGGAACTCTCCTCACATTTCCAGGGCAGAAAAGAGTCCTTGCGGTCACTTAAAGACAAGATCACAGGCCAGGAGAGGAGCAAACACCTCTCCTTAGATCATACCACCTTGGAAGAACTGAAACCTTACAAGTCCCTAGAATTATCTCTGAAAACAGCTACACAAAACCCCTAAAGCGTGGGACAGTACACCCTCCACATTGGAAGCAGAGCCCTACTTTAACAGAATTTTAAAAAGTCAAGTAATTGGCTGGGAAAATGAGCAAAAAATGAAAAAAAACTCTATAGAAACTTACTTTGGTTACAAGGAAAATCAAAACATACACTCAGAAGAAGACAGCAAAGTCAAAGCTCCTACATCCAAAGCCCCAAGAAAAATATGAATTAGTCTCAGGCCATGGGAGAGCTCAAAAGGATTTTGAAAAGCAAGGAAGAGAAGTAGAAGAAAAATTGGGAAGAGAAATAAAAGTTATGCAAGAAAATTATGAAAAGTGAGTCAACAGCTTGCTAAAGGAGACCCAAAAAAATGCTGAAGAAAATAACACCTTAAAAAATAGACTAGGGGGCGGAGCCAAGATGGTGGAGGGAAAGCAGTGACTTGCTAGAGCTCTCCCCCAAACCCCTCCAAATACCTACAAAAAATGATTCTAAACAAATTCGAAAGCAGCAGAACCCACAAAAAAAAACAGAGTAAAACAGATTTCCAGCCTAAGACAACCTGGATGGCTGATCAGAAAGGTATATCGTGCCGGGCAAGAAGAGGAGCACAGTTTGGCGTGGGCACACAGGCCACAGCAACCCTGGAGCAGGCCTCGGAGGACTGAATCGCGGGGAGCTGTGGCGGTTTCCAGACTTCTCAACCCATGAACACCAAAGACAACTTAGAAGGTCAGTGGGAAAAGTCTGTTACTGCAGTGAGAGAAGAAGCTAGATCCCAGCAGCAGCTGGCTTCTGAGCTTACGGCCCACAGACTGAGGGGGAATCGAGTGACTGATCAGAGGGGGATTGCAAGGATTTCCTTGCCAGGGCTGAGGCAGGAATCTCTTGCT